CCACCTAAATCCACCTCTCAGGTCAACTGGACTCCAGATAAATACTGCACTTATTGCCTATCTTAAAAGGTTGGACTCCTCCCCTTTCCCTGGTTTTGGGACTTCCTTTCCTGGCTACCAGACTGCTATTTACTGCATGCAACCACTGGCTGGACTGGTGAGTTCTCCTTATTGACTAGCCACTAGATTGGTGAGTTCACTCCAGTTTCTCAGCATAAACAGCTCTCTTGGTAGGGGAAGCTTGACCACAGAGCTCTGGCAACTTCGTACTATCTTTTGAGATGGAGGGACACCATCCCCAGCCATAGCCTTAACTCTCTAGGTTTGACCCTCTATGCTGACCTCCCTTTTAGGGCCCCACTCTCCCCTAGGCGGTATGTTCCCACTCGCACACGGTTCCTTCTCCCCCTCGCTAGCTTGCTCATGAGAAGTCCTAGCACTAGGTGAACCGTCGTGACCCAGCCGTGACCCAGCCGTGACCCAGCCATGCCCCACTGGGCACTGCACCCTGGTCCCTGATCAAAACCTGATGAGCTATTGGAGCACGTAGCACCCCTCTTGCTCAGAGTCACACCTTGCCATTGGGATGCCTCTGACAGGTTGCTGACTTCTCTGCCCCCAATGGGAGACACCCAGACGCCTGTCCCTCCAGATAGGATGTCCTCTGGAGAATTTTAAGTTTCTACACCTAGTGCCATCTGGCACCAGGGCCTCTAAGTTTACACACTTCTGTAACCAAACCTCACCTCAATGACAGATCGAAAACAAAACCTTCTTTAAATGTTACCAGTGATTGGGTAAATAAATGTCCCCCCCAGGTAGACAGAGGTTCCTATGTACAAGCATCATCGATCCAAACCTTCTATTCCTGTTTACTCTCCCAAAAGTTTTCAATGTATACCTACAGGATTTTCTCCATAACCTACTCAACTTTATCTTTTGCCTATATATGTGTTTCAGTGTCCTGCTAGACACAGATGTTTCCTATAGTCACAACAGTGCCAAAGCAGCTACAGGTGTTCAACTCTGACCTCATGGACATCCAACAAACTGCAGGTGTTCAACTCTGACCTCACAGACTTCCAAAAAGCTGGACCTAAAATTTCCTCCCAGCCATGGATGTTCTCACAGACCCTGGAAAGCATCAAAACAGCCTATTCTTCCTGGACTTGGCCAACATTTCAGCCTTTTGACCTCCCTACAGTGCCCCCAGTGTCAGCAGGAAGTAACCAGAAGAGAATCTACGCCCTTTATTCACTTGTTATTAACAAAAGGCTGAAATGGTGTGCTTCAGGACCAGGACAAGCAGCTCCAGGTTCTCCCAGCGTTCCCCAGCCCCTACCTGCTGCCTTGCATGGCTGCCAACTCTCTGTATTGACAACCCTCTACCCTAAATTTTCCAGGACAGAGGCTTCCCTTACTCTTGACCTTGCAATCTGACCATTTTGTTGCTATAATTCTTCTCTCTCTCAAACCCTTGCATGACAACCAAGAGCTGCTTCCAATGAGCCTAAAATTATATACTTTAACTTACCTTATAAAAATCAGCCCAAGATCCCCATTTTTTAATTATAGAAAAAGGGAGGAATGTTAGTATTTTGGAACACAACCTACTCCTGTGTTACCCAGCAACTTATGATGTCATCATGTGTTGCCAGCCAGGTGGCCACACCTGGATGGTGTGGTTACCTTGCCCCTTAAAGGGCTAACCCCGACACGTGGTCGCTCTCTTATTCTCTCTCACTCTTATACTCTCTTACTCTCCTCTCTCTCTCTCTCTCTCTCTCTCTCTCTCTCTCTCTCTCACTAGGTGTCCCTTCCCTTTTCTCTCTCTCTCCCCATGTCCTGCTACCCCCACCCTCCTAATAAACTTCTTGCAGAGAATATCGGTTGACATCAGCCCCATGCTTTTTAATAAATAATAATATTAGGGACCCTCGGTCTTCTCCTTGAGAAGCATCCCTGGCACATTCCTTTGGCTTTAGAGAGTTGAACACAGTAGGCTGGGCCCTGCTATTCTGAAGCAAAAGGGTTTGCAATGTCAACTTGGTCTCCTAATAGCTCTATCAAGGGAATGATTACATATGTGCTGTTGCCTCAAAGCATGTAATGATATTTCAGAAGCCAATCCCCATACATGAACAATTAAAGGAATGTCAGTCTAGGATTTACTTTTGTTTTCCATGGAATTCCAAAAATATCCAGGTAAAGAGCCACCTACCTCACCTTAATTTGATTGACACCTAAAGCCTAGAAAGAAAATGAAAATCCAAGGTCACATGGCCCCTTAGAAACACAGCTCACATTGGTGAAATATTTTCTAGAAGTCAGCAGTTTCTCTAAGTATGTTATATGACTTCAATCCTTCGATATAGACAGTTTACATACTGTGCTAGCAGGAAGGCTATGTCATGTGAGCCCATTGCAGAGGGTCTTGTCCTGTTCACTTGTCAGAGAGTAGCTGTGCTGGATGCATGTTCAGGCATTTAAAGTCTTTCCTCTCTCCTGCAAACCACTGCCATTCTGATGTTCCTAAGGACCCTGACATCACCAGCCAAGAATATGTGCAAGGTTTCTCCTTATTCAAGAAACACCTACCAGGGACCAAGGCTGTCATCATCACAAAATGAAAAACTAAGGACTCCATGAAGAGTAAGATAGTGCCACTCCATGGCTTCTTGATGCCAGACTCTAAGCAGTTCTCTATGTATTTATAGTGCTCTGGAAAAATTAGCACAGGAGCCACCTTCTACAAAAGAAGAAACTAAGGGTAAGGTTCAATGAATTATCCAAGGTTTGAAAACCATGATATGCCACTGGTTTTTCTGCATACAGCTGTATCAGGTGATATACAGAGGGCTTAAGAAGGAACTATGACCATTGTCATGCCACAAATGAGGACACTGATACTGAAAGCAAAGATCTTGTCTGCTCTTCCCAGTGCATCTCAGAAGCCATTTCCTGTGCCCTCACTTTCCTTTCCCTCAAGAATCCAACTGTACTCAGACTGGAGCCTTGCCACTCTACTTCTTCCCTAAGAATCTGGCCTGAGGAATTCTGTGCCAGATGCCTGCTCCAGGTAGCACCAGGGAGAAGAACCAGGGGGCCCCAGGCTCCTGTAGACCCTGAATGGATGCAGGAGGCAGCTCTACTCTGCGTCTGCTGCTCAGAGAATAAACTATGCAGGAAGAATAGCATATATGAGGCAGTGTGCTGTAGCCAACCCTTCATCTGATCACAAGTCAGGTGACCTCTATGAATGTCAGGATCCACTTCTCTAAAAGGAAATATGACTTCCCCCATATAACACATGCTTAGCAGAAAATGGCATAACAGAGACAGGACACATTGGTATCTTATGCCTCTTCTTACATGTACATCCTTCTTCAACGGTATCCTTAGGGCAAATGATATGGAAAATAAAGCTAGTATCACTAAAAACTTACGGATTTTCTCTTACTTGAGTCACTTGCTGATTAGGGTTGCCTAAACACTGCATTACCTAGAACTTCAGTATCCTTGTTCATGATATGGATGGATTCCGGAGAAAGCCACTTTCCCTGTTTCTTTCTGTTGAGGGGTTGTGAGAAGACTTGCTATATCACATCTATGTGGTAAAACACTAACATCCTTCTAATCTAATTCACCCTCAAAAGCAGCAGGCCTTCTCCAGATAATATGTGCCTTATGGCCAAGATGATAACCACAAGATTTGATTCACAGTGGCACTGTTTACTTAGCCAATTGAAATAAATGAAAAATTCATGACCTGAGATTTGAAATATGGTATCTCTAGCTGTTGGACTATAATGCTTTGTTTCCACAGGGGAAGAATTCTCACACATAATATCTGTATGGCTGATATTTTCATAGATTTATGGTCACTACTATATATAGAATCTGAGAGTAAGAAAAATATCAAAACCTTGGAGGTGGTAGTGAATGAACATGTTGGCTGAGTTCAAGAAATTCTGACCCAGGATTTATTAATCAAGCTTCTAAGTGAACAAGGTCTCTTGCTTGGACAATCAGAAGCAGGCCTGGAATGAGACACGGATTATAGGCCAGATCCCAGCACTAATGGGATGTGGATCATGGACAGGACACAGACATACAGGGCTCACATCTCTAACAAGGTTGGGCTGGATTGTGTGACTGTACCTCATGTTGCAAAATTCCTGAAATCAAGACCAAGTTAGAGGTATTTAGGCTTCTGTCAGGAAATTCAAAGTGAGCACCTGGCTATCTCAGCTGGGAACTGAGAATCCTCATGGAACTACCTCTAGGAGGCAAGCTAACATTGGCCCAGACCTTTAGTGCCTGGGAGAGTTGGTCCCTGACACAAAATGTTTTTTGACAGTACCAAGGGTAGCCTGGTGCCAACACCTAAACCAGAGCTAAGAGATTCCACAGAGAATGTAGACATATCCAGAATGTTCTCAGTGTGCTGTAACTGGACAGGAAATGAAGAAATCACACCCTTCCTTAACATCATTTTCTACATTGATGTGCTTTTTCTATTGGAAAGGAGAAGACATACATTTTGAGTAAAGAGCTCCTGCTTAACAGCTTCCTGCCATCTGTGTTGACATCTAGAGTACAACCTGGCATAACTAGGCCCCAGGTTGTTTGGGAAGAAAGAGAAGACATCATCAGGTGAAGAAGGACACTCTGGAGGCAGTAGGACAGGTGTGATGCCATCACCACGCCAGTCAGCTGTCAGGGTCCTTATCAGCCACTAGGCTTGGACACATTAAGAAAGGTAAGCTCTGTGGGGCAGGCAGACAAGGGCATGGATTTACCCCATTCATCAGAAGGGGAACCTCTAGCAAATAGCATGTCACCTCCTCTCTTCAGGTTCCTTGGACCACAGTTAGGGAAAGTCACCCTAGGAACATGAGGCTTACTTCCCCACTTGGTTCTTACTTGTTCACAGAATCTTGGACACTGTTTTTACCTGTTGGAGAAATCAGGGATGAGTAGGACAATGCAGTACTTACCAAGCACATACAACACGATGCCTCCCCCAGACTGAAGCTCTTTCCCAAGCTCTGATGTGTCAGGCTGGAACTTCACACAGTAGTAGGTGCCAACATCAGCAGGGGTGACATTACTGATTCGGATGGAAAAGTCCAGGTTGTTTCTCTTTGTTGCATCTGTGAGATTTGTGACTCTGGGGAATTTATATCCTGCGTAATTATATATAAGGCGCCGACTTTGTCCTGTACCCCTGAACCACTTTATGGGCCCCACAGGGGTCAGGGAGGTCACAGTGCAGTTCATAGTGGCTGATTCTCCAGCAGGGACAGAAACTGATTTCTCAGGCTGAATCACCTTCAGCTCCTGCAAAGCTGCTCCTACAGAAAACATCAGTTAGTGCTCACCCTGATGGAAACCCACAGGTTTGTGATCAAATACTGTTCTCACTAAAGCTCAGCCTGCATGTGATCACAGATCCTAAAGCTTGTGACTCTTAACACAGACAAGAAAATTGAATCACAGAAAGACAGAGAAACTTGGCAGGATTCTGATTGAAGTCCTAATTTTGTTTGGAATTCTCATGCTTCATCCAGTATCTGCTTAATTTTTATTTTCTGTGCACACAGCATATGGAACGTCTGTTACAATAATATTCAGTGTGATTATGTTGCTCCTTTAGAACAATGAGATATGAACATAAGTGTAGAGTGAGGTCTACATTTGATTATAAGTTTCTCATGGTGAGGTTTGGTGTATCAGACGGGGTAATACTGCCTTAGATAGATTCCCCAAAATAATAACATGTAACCTAGTTAAAAAAATAAAACTTCCAGACAAAAAAGGAAATAGCCCAGTTGCTGTTTGAAGTCTCTCTCTCTGTTCTTCCCTTGATTCAGTGCCCAAAGACCCAACCTGCTCACACCCTACACTCCCCATTCCCCACACCTCCACACTCCTGCTACTCAGGTGCACATTCACTATTTAGGGACAGACCATGCCAATCAGTAGAGCTAAGAGACCTACTTGCTGTCTTAACCCTCACACTCCTTCAGTTTGGAAGCCAATGATACCTTCCCTGGCCCACTGCCCCCACCCCTTCACTGCACCTTCCCCTTCTTAGGCAGACATCCACTGCTCAGGTACAGGCCACACAAGCCAGAACAGGAAAGGGCTCCATCTGCCATTGGAACCCTCCCACTCTCCTTTCAGAGCCCAAGACCCAAGCTTCTGACACCTGCCTCCTACTGCCATGCCCCCACACCTACACTGCTATATACCTCAGGCTGAATCACCTTCTACTCAAGTAAAGGCCATGCCAGTCAGAAAAACAGAGGTCCCTGCCGCACCACAGGCCAGGCTAACAACCAGAAGTCTAGCTCCCAATTCTGACTGAAAGTTGCTGCTGGACCAGAGGTCAAGCTGGCTACCAGAAATACAAACCACAAAAACAAGTTCAAAGAGGAATCAGAGAGCAAGGAACAAAACACACATCCAATAAAAACAAACTCAGAAATAGGTCCCTAGCATAATCCTTATCCTATATGCAGTAGCCTAGGTGCCAGTGCAAGAACATTAAACTTCCTGAAAAATTATGTGAACATTGCTCATTTCAGAAATGTCAACATCCAGGAAGTAGTGAGATGGTGTATCAATCAGAAAGAGAAAATACATCCAGAATTTAAATAAAACCAAGAATTACACATGATAACACTATGAAATCAATACAAAGGAGAAAACATGGTATACAAGTTAAATATCTCCTTTCACTACAATGATACCTTCCCTGCAGGGAATGCTAATGGGCTCTTTTGGGCTGACATAAAATAGCCAGAGAATAAGGGGAGTAGTGAAAGATAAAATAACTTATTGCTTTATAGTGACTTTTAAATTTCCATAAAACATTCATTCTGAGTTCAGCACTTCCACTTAGTTTTTGGATAATGGTGTCTCTAATTTTCAACCTGCTGAAAAGTATGGGGAATGGCCTTGGACCACTCAGTCATTGTTAAGTCTTAGACAAGGATATCTGAGGGGAAAACTCAGCTTCCCTAGATAAATCAAGCCAAAAGCAAAAGGAATTTTAAGAAATTAAAACTTTGTGTAGATGTAACACAATTTCTTTATCCTTTCCTCTGTTGAGGGACATCTAGATTGTTTCCAGACCCTGGCTATAATGAATAAAGCTGTCATGAACATAGTTGAGCAAGTGTCCTTATTGAATGGTAAGGCGACTTTTAAATGTATGCCCAGGAGTGGTATAGCTGCATCTTGAGGAAGTAGTATTCCCAATTTTTTGAAAAAGTGTCAGATTGATTTACTAAGTGTTTGTACAAGTTTGCACTCCCACCACCAATGGAGGAGTGTTCCCCTTTCTCCACATCCTCTCCAGCAAGTGTTCTCACTTGAGTTTTTGATCTTAGTTGATTGGTTTAAGATTGAATCTCAGGGTCATTTTGATTTGCATTTCCCTGATGATTAAGGATGTTGAACATTTCTTTAAGTGTTACTCTTTGTTTGATATTCCTCTGTTGAGAATTCTTTGCTTAGCTCTGTACCTCATTTTTCTATTGGATTATGTGGTTTGTTGTCTAATTTCTTGAGTTCTTTATATATTCTAAATGTTAGTGCTTTATCAGATGTAGGGTTGGTGAAGATCACAATAAAATACTACTCAGCTATTAAAAACAAGGAAATCATGAAATTTTCAGGCAAATGGATGGATCTAGAGGAGATCAAACTAAATGAGATATCCCAGAAACAGAAAGACAGGCATAGTATACATTCACTAATAAGTGGATATTAGCTGAATAATATAGGACAGCGATCTACAGACCTAAACAAGCTAAACACAATGATCCTAAGGAGGATGCTTAAATCTCACTCACAATGGCAAACAGGATAGTCACTAGAAGTGGTGGACTAGAGGAAACAGGATGGGAGTTACTAAAGATGGTCCTATGAAAGGATTTACCCAACAGGGGATCAAAGTGGATTCCTAGAATCAGGGCCAAAGTTTGGGCAAAACACAGTGAGTCTTATGGCGGAAGGGAGGGTGAAATTAGATAGACACAGAGGAGACAGCAGCTCCACAAGGAAAGATCTGAGCCCAGGTGGTACTTCAGAGACTGATGCACCAAGGAAGGACAATGCATGGAGAGGACATAGACCCCCTGCAGAGATATGACCAATTTGTAGCTCAGTTCCCATGTGGATCTCTGAGTGAGGGGAGTAGAGGCTGCCTCTACCATGAACCTAGTTGACTGCTCTCTGATATCTCACCCCTGATGATGCAGCCTTCTTAGGCTCGGAAGAAGAGGATCCAAGCAGTCCTGATTAGACTTAACAAGCTATGGGCAGATGGCAATAGCAGAGAACTCCCCCTTTCAGTGTACTAGGGGAAGGGGAGGAGGGGAAGTTGAAGGGAGGGTGGGACTGGGGGAATTGAGGGAGCAGGCTTCAATCAGGCTATACAATGAATAAATTGTGAAGAAAAACTAAAAATTAAAAAAAAAAGAATTTAAAACTTTGTGTAATCAGCTAATGCCAGATTTAACAAATGTGTGGATAGTACTAGGATACTGATTAAAAAAAAATTATATATATATATATATATATATATATATATATATATATATATAATGAAAATAACATGAATGAATTCCACTTGATATGGGTTGCTTGGGGGGGTAATCTCCTTTTTAAGGATTGGGATAGAGGGAGTATCAGAAAGAAGGAGGAAAGGTAGGACCTGTGGGAGAGGAGGGAGGGAGGCTATCATCAGGATGTGAAATGAATTTTTAAAAAACTCTAATGAGTGGAGATAGCTAATATCCACTTATTTTTTTAAAATTCTTTATTAATTACACTTTATTCACTTTGTATCCCCCTTGTGGTTCCTTCCCTCCTCCCATCCTGATCCCTCCCTTCCTCCACCCTCTGCATGCATGCCCCTCCCCAAGTCCACTGATAGGGGAGGACTTCTTTTCCTTCCTTCTGATCCTAGTCAATTAGGTCTCATCAGGAGTGGCTGCATTGTCTTCTTCTGTGGCCTGGTAATGCTGCTTCCCCCTCAGGAGAAGGTAATTAAAGAGCAGCCCATGGCAGTTCAGTTTCCAAGTCGGTTCCATTGTAGTAGGAACAGGGACTGCCTCTGACATGAACTGATTGGCCTGCTCTTTAATATCCACTTTTAAGTGAGTAAATATCATATGTGTCTTTCAGTTTCTGAAATGATCTTTTCTAGTTCCCACCATATGCCTGCAACTTTCATGATTTCCTTGTTTTTAATTACTCAGTAGTATTCCATTGTGTAAATGAACCATATTTTCTGTATCCATTCCTCTGTTGAGGGACATCTAGGTTGTTTCCAGATTCTGACTATTACAAATAAAGCTGCTATGAACATAGTTAAGCAAATGTCCGTATTAAATGGTGGGGCATTTTTTTTGGGTATATGCCCAGGAGTAGTATACCTGGATCTTGAGATAGCACTACTCCTAATTTTCTGAGGAAGGGCCAGAAAGAACCTAAACAATGAGGAACCTGGCAAGATGTGTAAGCCTCATTTGGAAGAAAAAAATAGGATAGATATTGGAAGTAGGAGAAAACAAGAAACAGGACAGGAGCTTTCCACAGAGGACCTCTGAAAGACTCTACCCACTAGGGTATCAAAGGAGTTACTGAGAATCATAGACAAACTTTGGGAAGAGTGCTAGAATCCTTTGGAAGAAGAAGGAGATAGAAAGATCTGGAGGGAACAGGAACTCCACAAGGAAGACAACAGAACCAAAATACCTGAGCCCATGGGGTCCTGCAGAGACTGATACTCCAACCAAGGAACATGCATGGAGATGACCTAGACCCCCCTGTTCTAAGGAAGCCCATTGGCTCCTCAGTTTCCAACTGGGTTCCCTAGGAGGGGATATAGCAGCTGTCTCTGACATGAACTCAGTGGCTGGCTCTTTGATCACTTTACCCTGGGGGATGCAGCCTTGCCATGTCAGAGGAAGAAGATGCAGCCAGCCCTTAATGAGATTTTATAAGCAAGGGTCAGATAGAGGAGAGGTAGGCTTCATCCCAAGTATGCAGGCATGGTTCAATATTTGGAAATCCATAAATGTAATACACTATATAAACAAACTCAAAGAAAAAAAAACACATGATAATCTCTTTAGATGCTGAAAAAGCATTTGATAAAATCCAACACCCATTTATGTTTAAAGTCCTGGAAAGATCAGGGATACAAGGCACTTACATAAACATAGTAAAGGCAATATACAGCAAGCCTATAGCCAACATCAAACTAAATGGAGAGAAACTTAAATCAATAACACTAAAATCAGGGACAAGGCAAGGCTGCCCACTCTCTCCATATCTCTTCAACATAGTTCTTGATGACCTTGTTAGAGCAATAAGACAATTAAAAGAGATCAAGGGCAAACAAATTGGAAAGGAGTAAGTCAAAGTATCAGTATTTGCAGAGGATATGATAGTATACATGAGGGAGCTCAAAAACTCTACCAGGGAAATTCTACAGCTGATAAACATCTACAGCCAAGTGGCTGGATACAAAATTAACTCAAAAAAAAATCAATAGTGCTCCTGTATACAAGACATAAGGGCTGAAAAAGAAATTAGTGAAACAACACCTTTCCCAATAGCCACATATGACATCAAGTACCTTTGTGTGTCTCTAACCAAGCCAGTCAAAGACTTGTATAAAAAATTTCTAGTTTCTCAAGAAGGAAATTGAAGAAGATATCAGAAAATGGAAAGATCTCCCATGCTCTTGGCTTGGCAGGATTAACATAGTAAAAACGGCCATCTTACCATAAGCAATCTACAGATTCAATGCACTTCCTAACTCCCATTAAATTAGCAACAAATTTCTTTACAGACCTTGAAAGAAAAATTCTCAACTTCATATGGAATAATAAGAAATGCAGAATTGCTAAAACAATACTCTCCAATAAAAGATATTCTGGAGGTATCTTCAACCCTGAACTCAAAGTATACTATAGAGAAATATTAGTAAAAACTTCATGGTACTGGCATAGAAACCGACTGGTGGATCAATGAAATTGAATCGAGGATGCTGAAATAAACCCACACATATGGACACCCTATTTTTGACAAAGATACCAAAACCATACAATGGGGAAAACATAGCATCTTCAACAAATGGTGTTGGTCTAACTGGATGTCTCCATGTAGAAAAATGTAAATATAACCACACTTATCAACCTAAACAAAGCTAAAGTCCAAGTGGATCAAAGACCTGAACATAAACCCAGACATACTAAACCTGTTAGAAGAAAGAGTAGGGAAGAGTCTTGAACTCATTGGCACAGGAGACAACTTCCTGAACAGAACATCAACAGCACAGGCCCTAAGAGCAACAATCAGTAAATGGGACCTCATGAAACTGAAAAGTTTTTGCAAAACAAAGGATACTATCATCAGAACAAAACAACTGCCTAAAGATTGGGAAACGATCTTTACCAACCTCATATCTGACAGAAGGCTAATATCCAGAATATATAAAGGAGTCAAGAAGTTAAACAACAATAAATCAAGTAATCCAGTTAAAAATGGAATACAGAACTGAACAGAGAATTTCAATGCAGGAATATCGAATGGCAGAGAAACACTTAAAGAAATGCTCAATGTCCTTAGTCATCAGAGAGATGCATATCAAAACAACCCTGAGATTTCACCTTACACCCATCACAATGGCTAAGATCAAAAACTCAAGTAAGAATACATGTTGTAGGGGTTGTGGAGAAAGGGGAACCTCCTCCATTGCTGGTAGGAATGTAAGAATGTAGAACCACTTTGGAAATCAAACTGGTGCTTTCTCAGAAAATTAGGAATAGTGCTACCCCAAGATACAGCTATAATACTCCTAGACATATATGCAAAAGATCCTGAAGTGCACAATAAGGACATTTGCTCAACCATGTTTGTAGCAGCCTTATTTGTAATAGCCAGAAGCTGGAAACAACCCAGATGCCCCTCAGTTGAGGAATGGATACAAAATTTGTGGTACATTTACACAATGGAATACTACTCAATAATTAAATACAAAGAATTCATGGAATTTGCAAGTAAATTTGAGAATGTCAGCTAAGTCTATCTGGATGGATGGAATTGGCACTATCATAGGTCCTGGGAACATCCAGTCTTGACTGGCTTCAGGTTATTTAGGGAGACCAGCTAGAGACTTCACAGCATCTGGGCTTGGGGGAGACCCTACCCACACTCTGTCTTTCATCCCAAGACCCCAAGCTACAGTAGATATACTTTATCTGAACCACTGGAGTGTTTCTGACTTCATACTGGTTTGGTTTTGGAAGGTGAGAGAGACTTTGATATCCTCGTCCTCGAGTCAACAGAAATCCCAGGCCACTAGCACAGGGCTTGCAGCCTCACTGCACGACTTGCCCAGCAGAACAGAAGTGACAGCAACATTCAAGCCTGTCCAGGGCCTCCTAATCCACGAGAACAGGGTTTCACCACAGAGAAGAATGGAACATGTTGCATAAGAATAAGGATCAAGTACGTTGTAACTCTTGTCAAAGGCTGTGTGGCCCTCCCTGTGAAATATGTTAATGGTAGGATTGAGAACTGGTGGACATGAAGTACCTGTCTCCACTCTGCCTCTAGGCCCTATCTTAGTACGCTGAAATTTCCTTGGTCTGATCAAATAACAGTAGGTACACTGTGGCTCTTCTGCTGCTTCTGTCTGTACTGACTGTGGGCTCATGCCATTGGCTCTTTTGTGGAAAGAAGCTTCAAGCCCCCTGTTCTTCCAGGGATTGCAATGTCAAAGGGACTTTCTTGTTACTGAGGTTAACCCTGTATATACTAAAGAAATACCATTCTACTAATACCAGCACTCTCCCTGTTGTGATGCCCACACATTGGGCTTCCCATCCCCTTTGCTGTGTACATTCACTGTGACCCTCACCTATGTGAGCTCATGGGTTACTGACTTTACCATGTAATCAACTGTGGCAAAGTTTTAATTTCAGCTGAAATGTACAGAGAGTCTTTACCACAGTGCCAGACTGGAAACACAACTAACATTGTATGACAGACAGTCTTCAAGAGAAAGGGAATTTATCTTAAAGGACTTTTCACCAGTGTAGCAAAAATAACAAATCACCAGATGCTGGAATCTTGAAGCAGAACACTGAAAACCGTAAGATGACAAGGTAGCACGGTGCCTTTTAAAGAACAATGTAATTTTAGTGAAAGTTCCTGAAGGGCATCATACTGATTAAATTCCTGGCAAGGAATTTTTAAAAAGTTTATAAGGAGTCAATGATCCAAGAACATACATTGTAAAAGTGACATTCCTCAAGAGAGTACAGAGCAGGGGCTGAAGTACCACAATCCTTGGGTGGTTTCAGTTTTGATATTTCCCAGGACTTTCTCCCGTTAGACCTTATCTTCTAAATAATCAATCTTTCAAAGTAGCACCATTATCTGTTGAAAAGATTTTAACATGTAAATTTTTAATGTATTTCAGATTCAAAGCATAATATTTTTTGCTAAACACTTCTCAGTACTGAAACAAAATTTTTAAACTCCACTGATAGAGGTATCAAAGCAGAGGCTGAGACTCTTAGCCAAACTTTGAGCAGAGATAGAAAGACATAGAGGGGACAGGATCTCCAAAAAGAGAACAATAGAGCCAAAATATCTGAGTCCTGGGGTCCCTAAAGAGAATGATACCCCAACAAAAGACCAAAAACCCCAGCTCAGATGTAACCTATAAAATCAGTCTCCAAGTGGATTCCCTATTAGGGGAGCAGAGGTATCCTTGGCATGAACTCAGTGAGAGGCTCTCTCATCACTTTCTCCTGAGGAGTGCAGTCTTGCAGGGTCACAGAAGAAGACAATGCAACCAATCCTGATAAGACATGATTGCTTAGGGTCAGAGGGAAATGGAAGAAGACCTCTCCTATCAATGGTCTATGGGAGGGGCATAGGGAGAATAAAGGAGGGAGGAAGGGATTGGGAAGAGATGAGGGACTGGACCAAAGCTAGGATACAAATTGAATAAATTGTAATAAATTATAATAATAGAAAAGAAAAATGAATACCGGGGATGAACTGATTATATTTTACATATCAAAGCATAAACCCATAATGTGACTGTACATGGTATTGAGTCTCTAAAGAGTTAAGGTCAATTGGGGATATTTGGGTGGCTCTTAGTCCAATGTGACTCTTTTTCTTTCAGGAAATGGAGAAAATCCATAGACATAGGCTAGGGTGAGATCATGCATGAAGACAGAATGAGACAGTGCAATTTAAAGGAGAAGCATCTTGGAAGGAATCTGCTCAATGGACACCTTGACTCTTGTCTCCAGCCTTCATGGCAACCCTAGCAACAGCCTCTTAAAGAAGCAGCACGAAATGAGAAGACTGATGTCATATGAGAAAGCTAATAGAAGTCAGAGGATAAAATAAGGAACCTAACTTAGAAGAAATGGTGGCTGAGCACTGCAGGACACACTTCACCCAGAGTCATGCCACTGGCCTGCATGTCAGCTTCTATGTCTCAGGAAGTGAGCAGAGATGGCTGAGCTCAGAGCCAAGTGGTCCTACCAGCTGCATTGGAATTTATTCGGTGGCTCTGAATAACCCAAGGGATAGAGTGATTTAATTAGGATTCTGCTGAAAATATTTTCTTCAACTTAAATATTAGAAACTAACATTTATTAAGCATCATCTCATGGAATGCTTCTATCCCACTGTTAAAACTTATGGACATGCAGAGCAATGCTCAGAGCTCTGGCTCTAGGACCTGAGACAATATTCTGACCTTCTCTCCTGGGACAGTTCAGGTGGCCAACTGGAGTCCTTTAGTTTCTAAGGCAAGGGTTGCCCAGAAGCAGGAAGATGATGCTATTCTTGGGACATGCTCACCTGTAAGTCCCAGCAGCAGGGTCAGCAGGACACTGTGAGGAGAGTGTGGCCAGGAGTCCATGGGAAGCATGGTCAGGGTCAAGGAGCCTTCTCTGCCGGTGTGTGTGCTCAGGAGATCTCAGCTTCTGATCTGTGCATGCCAGTGTTGTGGGGAAACAGGAACTACACTGGTTATTTTGAAATCAATACCCAGTATGTATTTTGGTATGTAGCTGCAAGCAAAGATTAGTTCTTTATAATTTATGTTTAGAAGAAAAATGTTGATCTTGAAAATATCCCTTAGATATTCTTTCCTGATATCCTGGAACATGTAGTCCAATGACACCTAGGAGTCTTTCTATTTGCACAAACACAGTAAAATATGATAGAATTAGTATTAATTGTTAAGGTGGCACAGATGAAGAAGGTCCCCAGGGATATCTGTGAGAGATTGCTGGGGTTTAGAATGTCTCTGAGCCAATCTGTGCGGGATTGTCTTTAGTTAATTGAACCGGGAAAACTTATCTTATTTTTGGGCAGAACAAGATCCTGAGCAGAGGATTTTGACCTGTAAAATAGACAGGGTCACCTGAGTACTAGCAGGCATTCACTACTTCATTGCTCTCAACTGCTGTCTAAAGATGTAACATGATTCCCTGCAACAGATTACTAATCACCATTGGGTTACTTTTAACTGAAACTTAAGATCCATAGTAGTAATTGTGGGGCTAGATTCTTGTCAGCAAAGTAAATGACATAGAAAATTTCAAGCTCATTAAGATGTGAATTAAGTGGCAATGTTGTCCCCTGGGGTCCTCCAGTAGGTAGAACTTTACCCAGAGAAATTGCCAACTGAAATATTTGTTTTCCATAAAATAATACAGAATTATTTTTTAATTGGGTTATTAAAAGTCATCTTTCCTATTTGTAAATACTCATCAGTTTTATTGACATCATTTTCAAAAAGATGCTCTTGCTTGCTAAATATTGTCGTGCGCATCTTGTGCCATGCTTTGTCAAAGGTATTGTCAGTAGATGTTGCCCGAGTGGAAGGTAGTTAATATGACAGAAGAGAATGAGACAGAAAGAATAAGAATCCAGGGTCCAGCATAAGCTTAGAGCCATGTGCGAACAATCTCACTCTGATCTGTTGAAGTATAGCTAATTTGCAGACACATGACTAAGTGGTGCATTCTTACTACTGAAATGTCAATTTTGTGAACTGGTAACTAAGAATCACACAGAAGTATTGATACTGTGACATGCCAGACCTAGACTTCTGCCTTACATATTTTTAATAATTTATTTTATTTTCATTTTATGTACATTGCTGTTTTTACATTTCAGTTTAGTTACTTCCCATCCCAAGGCTGTTCCTTCCCTCCTCTCCTTAAAGTTCTCCCTTTCTTTACTTCCCCCATTACCTCCCCCTTTCACACCAGAAAAAGGGGAGCTTCCCCATATCATCTCTCCCAGTACATCAGTACTGAGAATATCCTCATCCCTTGAGGCCTGGCAAGGCAGTCTTCCAGGAGGAAGTGATCCAAAACAGGCAATAGAGTGAGAGGAGGAGTGCTTGATTTTGATTTACAGTCAATCAAATAGTTGTATTGTAGTTTTGGTGTTTTCATGATGAACCCAGAGACATTTTAATGGTAATAATTTTAGTAAAAAAAAATGGCTGTTATTATCACTGTGATCATTTAATTCACTGTAACATGGACCACGGGGCCTTTTCAAGTACAATAATAACCATCACTGATGAGGGTGCAGCCTTCTTCACAGCACACCAGTCTGGTGACATTTGTGAATGTGTCCTCTTTTGATGTCAGGTTCAGAGCTGATGGCTTAAAAATACTCCTGCTCTCATTTTACTTGGAAGATTCTAATAGAACAAAAAAGCCGCTGACAGGAGGAAACACAGAATTGAAGAGAAACAGTGGAGACACAATGACTTTTTTTTTTTTCTCCTTCCACTCCTCCCTAAATTCTCCTTGTGTTGCTGTTTTCTTATCTGTCTTGGCTTTTAAAAAAAATGGGCCTTTTGTAATGTAGGCTGGAATTGAACTTTGTATAGCTGTGATCTTGAACTTATACTGCTCCTCTATCAACTTCCTGAGTGCTGGCAGGACAGGTGTGCACCCCGCCCACTGTATGATGATTCGAAGGATTAACCAAAGGACTCTGGCATGCCAACTGAACACTCTACCAGCTGAGCTGTGTTGCTGACCATGTCTTATGTTCTGAGACTGTTTCACTTATGCCATCTAGCATGCTCACATCACAGTGGTATACAACCTCTGTTCCTCTAATGGAAGCAACTCCAGAGATCTGTAAACAAAACTTTCAACCATTGTAAATGGGAGTATTTTCTCTAGAATAGAAGTCTGTTATTTATTTGTTTTTGTTTTGTTTTTGCACATAAGCCACTGTACAACGCTTTATTCACTTTTGCTTGTGTTTTCTATACAGAGATCATACTTTGGACTATAAATATTAAAGATACTTGTACTCTGCTCCCCTACTTATTTCTTATTGTAATATTAAATGTTCGTGTGCAGTGCTCCAATAAGAAACTCATGTTCCCCGTTTTCTTATACTAAATCACTACTTCCCTTGCTGTAATTTTCCCCTGAGATTTTTTGCAAAAGGTTCTGTGTGATGCTAATGTTTCAGATATTTATAACGTTCTTGTATACTTCTCTCTTGTGCAAACCACAACCATTACACTAATCTTTTTTTAATTTTTTTTTAAGAATTTTTTATTTCGGTATTTTTTTACAATTTTTTTATTTTAATTTTTATCAGATACACTATATCCACCTTGTATCCCCCCCATCAACTGCCTCTTCCCCTCCCAATCCCACCTTCCCTCTTCCTTCTGCACTCATGCCCCTCCCCAAGTCCACTAATAGGGAACGTCTTCCTCTACTTCCTATTGATCCTAGTCTATCATATCTCATCAGGAGTGGCTTCATTGTCTTCCTCAGTGGCCTGGAAAGGCTGCTCCTCTTTCAGGGGGAGGTGATCAAAGAGCAGGCCAATCAGTTCATGTCAGAGGCAGTCCCTCTTCCCATTAATAAAAGATTTTTTAAATAAAAGTTAGTTTATTAACTTTATATCCCAACTGTATCCAGCTCCCTCATTCCCTCCTAATTCCACCTTCCCTCCCTCATCTCCTCCCTTCCCCTTTCCAAGCCCACTGATAGGGGAGGACCTACCCCTCTCTATCTGACCCTGGTTTATCAGGTGTCACCAGGACTGGCTGAAAATTCCTCCTCTGTGGACTAGCAGGGCTGTTCCTCCCTCGGGGGTGGGAGGTCAAAGAGCCCACAATTGAGTTCATGTCAAAATGAGTCCCTGTTCCCCTTACCTGGGTACCTGCTTGGATACTGAGCCACCATAGGCTACATCTGAGCAGAGGTTCTAGGTTATATACATACATGGGCCTTGGCTGGACAAATAGTCTCATAAAAGACCCCTGTGCCCAGATATATTTGGCCCTTGCGGCACTCCTGTCCATCCAGGTCATATTAACTCCTGCCTTCTTTCTTATGATTCCCTGTACTCTGCCGAAGGTTTGATTATGAGTCTTAGTATCTGGTTTGATAAAATGCTAGGTAGAGTCTTTCAGAGGCCCTCTATGGTAGGCTTCTGTCCTGTTACTTGTTTTCTCCTACATCCAATGTCCATCCCATTTGTCTTTCTAAGTGAGGATTGATCATTTTACCCCCAGTCCTCTTTCTTGTTTATCTTCTTTAGGTGTACAGATTTCAGTATGTTTCTCCTATCTTATAGATCTATATATGTGAGTATATACCATGTGTGTCTTTCTGCTTTTGGGATACCTCACTCAAGATGATCTTTTCTAGGTCACACCGTTTGCCTGCAAATTTCATATTTGGCGCTTTCTCGGACAATTAGGAATAGTGCTTCCTCAAGATACCACTCCTAGGCATATATCCAAAAGATGCTCAAGTACACAGCAAGGATATTTGCTCAACCATGTTTGTTGAGCAGCTTTATTTGTAGTAGCCATAACCTGGAAACAACCCAGATGTCTCTCAGTTGAGGAATGGATAGAGAAATTGTGATACATTTACACAATGGAATACTACTCAGCAAACAAAAACAAGGAAATCATGAAATTTAAACTAATCTCAATTCTAGTGTCCTTAAGCAGTGGTGAATCTTAACTCTGTGTGCTCTGCTTTTTTGTTAATAATTACCACATCCTGTGATCTGCTCCTCTGTAAGGTGCTCTATTATAACAGAGTGGGCGGTGCTCTTCTGGAAGAACTTCTGATTTGACTCCATTTTGCAGAAACTTACATTATATATAAAAGTGACATCTAGTCTTCCAGTTCAAGCAGCTTCAGAGATGCATGAGAGAAAACCTTTCTAAATATAAAAGGGGGATTATGTTTTTGCTTTGGTTGAAGAACATTCCTTTGGACAGATCACTTTGCAATATTTTAGTAGTGTGTGTGTATGTGTGTGTGTGTGTGTGTGTGTGTGTGTGTGTGTGTGTGTGTGTGGCATGGAGTTGAGTGTGCTATGAACATTTCATATACTCATATTCTTCTCCACATTCCTTTCTAGTTCTGATTTTAACCATAACTCTAGCACAAATATCCTTATCAAGTGCTAGTAAAATAAACTCATATGGCCTGCTTCCTTAGTGTAAATTACCACTTCCCTTGATGAAATTTCCCCTGCCTTGCATTCCTTTAAATAGATTTTGCAACTGAAAAGGAAATTGCCATTCTCACCATGTTTTCTAAAAATCCAACTTACATGGGAATATATGCTCTGCTCTTCCAATGCAAGAAACTCCAGCGATGTATGAAGAAATCTTTTAGCTGTTGTAGACAGGATTTAGTTTTCTCTATATTTGAAGTTCATTGTTTATTTGCAAATAAGCCACTATGCCATGCTTAATCAGTTGTGCCTGTGTGTTCTATACATTCATGGCACTGCATACTGTAAATATTAAAGAAACATGTACTCTGCTCCCCATCTGTTTTGTGTAGTAATAAAAAATGTCTTTGTGCAGTGTTCTAATAGTAAACTTATATTTCCTGCTTTCTTATACTAAATCCCCACTCCCCTTGCTGTAAAATTCCCTGCGCTGAATTGCTTTCAAACATTTTTGCAGATGCATGTTACTTGTTCACTCTTTTTTCAATAATCTTCTATCAATAGGAATGTATCAGTCGCTCCTCAGATACAAGTAAGTTAAGAGGTTAGGAGCCCAGCATTAATGAACCCTGTTAACAGCATTCAGTCTTCTTATGTAGATCTACACTGGTTTATAAATATGTCACTGTGCCATGTCTTAGCCAGTTGTGCATGTATTTCATGCACAAAGATGGAACTGTGCACTATAACTGTTAGAGATTCTCATACTCTCCTCCCCTACTCATTTCTTGTTGTAATAAAAAGTCCTTGTGCAGTGCTCCAATAATAAACTCATGTTCCCTACTTCCTTACACTGAATCACTCCCCTTGTTGTATTTTCTCTGTAGTGAATTGCTTTCAAAAACTTCTGCAGTTGTAAAATTACTATTGTATTCACCATCTCCTTTCTTTCTTTCTGTTTAACTTTTCACTGATTCTTTGTAAATTTTACATCATGCACCCCAGTTCCCCATCTCCCTATCCCTCCAAAACTGCCCTTTGCCTTTACAAACTCCCTCAAAAATAGTAGTAATTAATTAATTATTAATAAAAGTGCATCTTGCTGAGGAAGCTTCAAGATGTCAAGATGTAAAATCCAGTATACCCTTTTACTGAACATTTTTTCTTGCAAATGTTAATTGCAATGAGTCATTGGCCTGATTGAGGCCTCTGGCTTCTGCTACCCTATCAACATTTGATCCTCACCAAGGCTCCTATAGGATATCTTGTTGCCTTGTGTCAGAAAAGATCCTCCACCTTTGGTTTTGCAAGACTGGCCCCTTCATCTGGCTCCATCAGTTCACAGATGGGGTAGTTGTGGGGGTACAACAACTCAAAGCTCTGTTCTGTTCAGGAAGTTTTCCATGTGCCAGTGCACTTAAGGCTAATCTTCACTTTCACTTCTATTGAATTTAGTGTGTGCAGCTTTATGTTTTGATCTTTGATCCACTTGGACTTGAGTTTTGTGTAATGTGATATAAATATAAGTCTATTTCCATTCTTCTACATGCAGACATCTAGATAGACCAGCACCATTTGTTAAAGATGCTTTATTTTTTTTTTCATTGTATGGTTTTGGTTTTTTTGTAAAAAAAAAAAAAAAAAACAACAACAACCAAGTGTCCATTGGTGTGTAGGATTATTTCTGGTTCTTCAATTGAATTCCATTGATTAAACTGTATGATTTCACGTAATATCATGTGTTTATTTTAACCACTATTGCTTTGTTGTACTTCAACAACAAATTCTTTTATTGTACAGTATTGTTTTAGATATTCTTGGTTTTTCATTTTTCCATATGAAGTTGAGAATTGCCTTTTCAAGGTCTATGAAGAATTTTGTTGACATTTTGATGAATGAAGTGAATCTATAGATGGCTATTTTTACTATGATAATTCTACCAATCCATGAGCATGGGACATCTTTCCATCTTCAAATATCTTCTTCAATTTCTTTCTACAGAAACTTGAAGTTCTTGTCATAAAGGTCATAAAGGTCTTGCTGTGTCAGAGTTACACCAAGATACTTTATATTATTTGTGGCTATGGAAATCTTTAAGTCTCTGAAGAAAGAGGGATGAGATACAACCAGGATGTAAAGTAAATAACTTTAAAGAAAGGTATATTTGGGAGAAGCAAACAAGTCAATCTATTTAATTTAGTTACTCAACACATTCTGGCAGCTAAAATAGGAGCTAGTAGAAACTGTAGAGAGGTCTTGGGAGATGTTGTGGCAAGTACAGACAGGCAGAGGAATTAAGCCACTCTCAGACCACAGAAATAGTGCATTGATGTGTAGGCCCAGGTTGGATCACTCTGCGATAAAATGTCATGAGTGGGCATTCAGAGTTTTAAAGGTTGGCTAAATGAAACCGACCCTGAGGATAGTGTTTACATGATGGAGTGTTGAAAGCCCTATAGATCAGTACTTTCTCCTCTTTTCAGAACCACATTTTGTATATTTACCCACTCAGGAGCAGTGACACCATTTTTAAAGTCTTCATTGTATGTGTGTGTGAGACAGAAACACATACACACGCCTACACACACACACACACACACAGAGAGAGAGAGAGAGAGAGAGAGAGAGAGAGAGATCAAAGAGAAAGAGAAAAAAAATGGCCATATTAATTCATTCACCATGAGCAGTAGGGATGAGGACAACAAACAAGATAAAAAAAAACTATCTTTTCATCTCAATAATTAAAGAGCATTTCCTTATTTATTTTGGTTGAGGATATTTCAGAAAATGGAAATGAGAATAATTTTTATTCCTAAAATTATGATACAGCTCAAGAGAGAACATCAATAGGTTGGGAGTTTATGAGCCAGAAGAGCACCAGAGAACATGAACTAAAGTGAGCAGTGATGGTCAACTCCAAGGGATGGATTATAAACAGTCAGATACATTAAAAAGGGAAATTTCATGTCAAGAATTGGGGCTCAGATCCATTTCACACAGTTGATAAAGATTATGTGATAAGAATAAGGGGTAGAATCTATAACGTTGGAGCACTACTTTAATCCCAGCACTGGGAAGTCAGAGGCATGGTGAGCTCTGTAAATTCGAGGCCAGCCTGGACTATACAGTGAGCCCTGAGACAAAGAATGCTGCACAGTGAAATCTGTCTGGAGAAAACAAAAACAAAAGAATAAGAGGGAGAAACTGACCTGGATTTAGTATAAACAGACCTCAAACACTTTGTATTCTTGTCTAGAAGCCAAAATTGTCCTCTGGACTCTTTGCAGCCTTATTCCTGCTAAAGACCAGGGAGACCAAAAATGCTTGGAGGCTATGCTCCATGATTTTGTTTCCAAAATGTTTTTAAGGTTAACTTTTCAGAGTTGTGTTAGATTACCAATAAAAGCTCATTAAAGAAAAGTTGATGATTAAGAAAAAAAAATATGATATTGGTAGAGACCTCAGGATCAATCCCTCAGGAAAAGGACACTCTTTTTTGTAATTTTTATTTTTAATTTTTACTTCACAGTTTATTCATTCTATATCCTGATTGAAGCTCTCTCCCTCAACTCCCCCCAGTCCCACACTTCCTCCCTCTTCCTCCCATCCCCCTCCCCTAGTCCACTGAGACAAGGAATTCACTGACATTGCCATCTGCCCATAGCTTATCATAGCTCATCAAGACTGCCTGAATCCTCTTCCTCAGTGGACTGGCAAGGCTGCATCATCAGGGGCCAATAATCAGTGAGCAGTCAACTGAGTGCATGATAGACGCAGGCCTTGATATCCTCATTAAGTAGCCACATGGAGACTGAGCTCCCAATCAGCCAATAAGTAGTCTAGGTCCTCTCCATGCATGGTCCTCCATTGGTTCATCAGATAAAGGATATACTTACAGTACAGTAAAGGGATAAATGGAATCATTTTTTTTTCTAAATAGATGTAATGCTGAAACTCACAATCCATCCCAGCATGCAAAAGGCACAGGCAAGCCAATCTTAATGAGTTCAGGCAAGTCTGGTCTAAATAGAGAGTTCCAGCAAAGTCAAGGCTACATAGTGAGATCCTGTCAAAATAAAAAAAAAATCAAAATAAATTATCCCATTACTTGATACACCATCCCATCTTTCCTAAAATTCTTCCACCCCAGAACGTTCCCTACATACTGTGCTAAGGTTTAGTTGGGTAAGCCTTCCTTTCTGAGGCCTTCTAATGCAACAAGGCTGCTTTCCCCCTTGATCCTCCATTGTCATTCTATTCCATGAGGTTGCTGAGATTTACACTTTGCCTGTACTGAGAATTTTTCTTTGCACCAGGGTAGATTATCCTTGATCTCCAAGTTCATCTTTAAATTATTTCAATAATGACAAAAAGGACTCCAAGAATAGAACCCAATATGCACACAGCATCAGAGCTCTGGGATGAAAAATGCAGATGCAGAAGGACAATAAGAAATTCTGTGTTGCATTTGTTTTTGTGAGGAAGTAATTAGGAGCAGTCTTCCATAGCTTCTCACCAACTTCTTCTTCTATACCTAGCCTCTATGCAGATAGGGTTCCAGTGTTGTAGAGGATGAAGGGAAAAGCTGTGGAGAATCACCTCTTACTCAATATTCCCTTCATCACTTACACATTTTCTTCGTGCTACAGTGTCAGTGGTACAACTCTCTCCCTAGCATTCCTGTTCTGAGTCTATTCTCCATGGTCACAGAGAGGCCAAAGCAGAAACAGTCATGATGACAGCTATCTGAATAGTCTAAATTCTGGCTAATAATGTAGACTGATTTTTCCACGAACTCCTTGTCTTCCACTTACTGTAGAAAGCTCAACGAAGAATAGTGAATCCAATATACCACATCCTACCCCAGGGCCCATTTCCCTCACATCCTCTCAGTCTCTTTGGGCACCTATGTTGATCTTGGACTGAACCATTCTGCAGTATGCACACATTTCCTGTGAGCTAGGGATGTATCAAAGGTTTCCACAAGATTCTTGATGAACCTCAGAAATAAGCCATTATTACAGATAAATGGAATGGCTGTCCTACTGATCCTGCCATTTCCATGTTCATCGACACACTGATATCCATCTGGTGCTTTGAATAAGAACCATTCTCTATATGCTAGGATATTTGGATCTTGGTTCCCAGTTGTGGATAGTGTTTGGGAAGATTTAGGTGGGTCTAGCCTTGCTAAAGGAAATATGTCTCAGAAAGTGAGCCTTGGGAATGAAAGCCTTTTTGCCACTTCCAGTTTGATCAGTCTGCTTCATGCTTTTTTTCTAAGAATGTGAGCACTTAACATTTGTCCTGGCTGCCATTCTTACCCAGCGTGAGGGACTCATATATCTCTGGAACAGTACACTTCCAAATAAACCCTTTTCTTCTATAAGTTGTTGTAGTCATAAAGTTTTATCACAGAAACAGAAAATTAACGAATGAACATGTATCCCCTCCAAGGTACCTTCAGGCCTTTTGCTTCTTGTACCTGTACACAGCAAAAACCCCAATTACCAGCAGCAGTTTGGGTCCAAAGAGCACAGCTACAAGGACTTTAGCAGAATCTGAAGTCTTCAATTCTGAAATCAAAAAGTAGAAGGAACTATTAGAAAGGACACACAGAACTCATCATCCCTGGTCTTCTCTTGTCTCATCTGTGGACCTCTAAGCTCATCAAAGCTCTGAGGATTTTGAATGTATTTTCTCTAGTAATTCAAAGCATAATTTTGAAGCAAAAGAGGTGGTAATGTGGTTTCTATTTCTCCATTGGTCACAGCTCATGTCTTCAACTTTTACTTCTAAGAAAAAGTGTGTAAGAATTTGTGGTCAATGTCACATGGCACTTGGTTTTATGAAAAAAGTCCTTAAAAAGGAGATGAGCATTCAAAAGGAATCTTCTACAGAGCCGATTTACAGTTTAGAACTTCAGTGAATGAGTTTGGCATATTACAGGCCAGATCCAAATTATCTTGATTCATATTTAGTCTTAATATCCATGTATGCCATCCTCTATACCTGACTGACATTTCTGTGACAGTTAGTTGAATCATTTGGGATATACAGAGTACGTTTTCTTTGGAATGTGTTAACTTAGCAGACACAGTTTCAGCCAACATTATTTCTGGATGTCACCACATAACATCTGAAGCATCTAAGATATTTCCCTGCTCTTAACACACCTCTCCCAGGTTCCCAGAAATGACTTTCAAGTGTTTTTATCTACGACTTTCTTTCTTCTGTTACTACAACAGCTTTATAAACTTCCACAGTGGACTTTAGGTTTCTTTGACCTGTGTTCCTGGGAAACGAGAACTGATAACTGGTTCCAGAATGAATTATTTTGTGTCTTTTTTGTGCAGAAAATAGTTTTTTGTCAACTATGAAATGCTTGGTTTTCAGAATCGTATTTGTCAGTGATTATGATTCCCACTTTGCAGGGATAACGGTACACAGGTGGGGGGAGGGGTTTCCAGGTTAGTGAGATCAAGAGACTTTTCTCAAGGCTGATGTTTAGGATGATCCCTGAGACAGTGTCCCTGCACAGACAGGATCGGTCTCTCAATAGCCCAGGAATAGCTAGCTGTGAACCAGAAATACATATAAAAGAGAAAACTTATGAGTAAGTGAATAGACATTCTTTCTCATTTAGATAAAAGTCATCCTAAAAGTCTAGATTCTGGGGGATGAAGAGAGCCTGGTAAAGTGGCAAACAGCCACATAAAACCACTTGGTGGAAAACATGCAGGTAAAGGGAGATACATGTATAGATAAGAATCTATGAGACAAGACTACATGGTCTGGTTTCTTGACCATCATGTAGCCCATGTCCATGCCAGTACAGATGCTATATGAAATATTTCCATCATTCAGGAAGAGCTAGTTTTAATTTGCAATTAATCAAGCATTAATTATTTTTTTAAGAATAGAAACAGGCTGGTTGTATATTTCACTGAGTATGGTGTTTGCCTAACAAATGAGAGGCCCTAGACTCACTCTCTAGCACAGCCACACCAACAATACAGATAATTTGGTAGCCCATACCTATGATCCTAAAACTTGGGTTGTGGAAACAAGGGGAGCAAAAGTGTAATTTCTTACACTGTCTGGTGATTAGTTGTCAGTGCCGACTTGCCGCAACCTAGAATTGCCTAGGAAGAGCATTACAGCTAAGGAATTTGTTAAATTGAGTTGACCTGTTGGTGGGTCTGTGGAGGATTGTCTTAACTGCTAATTGAGATGGTAGCACCACTATGAATGTACATGGCATCAATTCATTAAACCCAGGGCCCCACAGTGTGTAAGATCAGCAAAGAAAGGTAGTTGAGCATCAAGCAGCAAATGGAAATTATAGGTACAGTTTTTCTCTCTGCTCTTGACTGTGGATGTGATCTTTGACTTCCTGCCTGGCTTTCTTTGGGTAAGCTGGAATTGTAAGCTAAACAAAAGCTTTCATCCCTTATGTTTTTTTTTTTTGGGGGGGGGTCATATTATTTTATCACAGCAACAGAAATGAAACTATAACATTCCAGAATTACATGCAAACAAGAATAAACTTCTCTTGAGGGAGCCTTAGGAATAAGCAGACACCCAATTTTATACAGCTGATTTGAAATAGGAATTCTATTGCCTTCTCCCATCTCCTCAGTCTGAAAAATCTATTAATGGCCATCCTATCCTCCAGCTCTCTGAGTACCTATGATGTCTTTTATTGGACCTATACTGAAACCACATGTCTTCCTGGGCTAAACCAGCTGTTTCACACCTGTGCTGATATCCACAGGACTACAGAATGGCCTGCCTTTCTTCATCTACGTTAGAGTGTACTCCCTTGTAATTCTAATATGAATGAATGGTCTGAAGAGTATTCTCAAATTGAAGAATTTGAGGTTTAATTAATAGACTGCCTTGAATTGGAGATCCCAGCATGAAATGTCAGAAGCCCTGGTGTATAAGTGTTTATCTTAAAACATAGACAATAGTTATACACAGAAAGGTAATTATTTTTGCATCAAGCATTGAAATGGATTGCCTCTCATTTCAAGGAAACCATCAAGAACAAAATAAACCAGGAACAAATAGAATGAAAAAAAAATGATATCTTCAGACTAGCAAAAAATACCCAAGCACTAAAACTTCTCACCAAGAGAATTAAAATCATTAGCTTAAGTCCTAGGAATGCAACTTAACTCTCAGTCATGGCAAATAAATAGGTGAAAAAATTATTCCCTTAATAAGATACTACCCCTTTCCTTCCCAGGATTTTGTCCCCAATTTACCCCTGCTAGCTGGTCTGCAGTTAAGTTCAGCTATATCTGAGGCCTGACCATGACAAAACAATTTTCTTTTTTGTTTTTTTCCTATCTGTTTTCAGAGGCTGTGCTATGGTTCCTCTGAACTCCGTTTCCCACCATTTGGGCACAATGTCTCTCTAATGACTAATGGAATGCAAGAGAAATAACAAGTTTTCCACATCAACACAGAGACAGGAATATCACTAGGACCGTAGAATAAAAAAGGACAATAAAATCCTTTGAGAATTTCTGTAGCAGAAGTTTGAAAACTCAGATAAAAACGGATTAAAATAACTCCAAAACAAACCACATTCAATGATATGTCCAATATCAAATGACTAATGTGTTTTTATGAACATTAAAGGAAATTGAATTCATCATTTTAACACATTGGGATAGATTTCTTCGGGTCCAAAGACTTTATCAAGAAAAGCTGGTAAGGATTTAAAGATGAGATAAAACTTAATTTGGGGGCACAAAAAAACCTATAAAAGTGATTTTGAAAAGCACAAAATACAGTCCTTTTAAGATCATTGTTGGGAAATATAGTTGTTCCTGACCTAAGTTGTTTTGTGTGCAGTTATGCAGAAGCAACTAACACAGTCCTAAATGCCATCAAGATCACCATCTCAGCTGCTGGAGATAAGAACAGATTTTTAGGAGGACACAGTGGCACATAATCTTGTACTATTTCTTATCAGAAATTTGTACTAAATGGCCATATTTCACACAGCCAAGAGGTGGGGTGGAAACCTCACCAGACGTGATGCCAGTACCTTGCTCCCTCTGATGTTCACTGATCACCACAGTATGGGATTTCATGATTGCTGGCTGTCCATCATGTTCAACCTGGCATGTGAGTACCATGTCCTCCTTATGGGCATGTATGTTCACCAAGAGCCAGCTGGTCCTTGTGTAGGTTCCATCCTTGTTTACTGTGAGTGTAGAAGCCACTTCTGTCTGAGACATATTTCCATTCTTTGTCCAGGTCAACTGAAGGCTCAAAGGATAGAAGTTCTTCACTTGACAAGTGACATTCGTCAGATTCAATACCACTGTTGGATGCTGGCTGACTTCCATGGAGGGTAGAACTGAAAAAGCACAAGCAGAAGCCTAGGCAGATGGAACTAAGGCAGAGGGAAGAGTCTGGAGTCCTGAGGACCCACCCCTGTTAACAAATGCATCATGGGACAGAAGTGCTTATTCTAGAGTAGAGGCACCACTAAGCATAGCTACTAAACCAGGAGCTTAGGCAGTGATGTGTGTGGATCCTAATAATTGAAATTAATAAGAAAAACTCCAGTGTGTACTGGGAAAAAAATAAATGCCTGAAAATGCTGTGTGTGAGCTCTGTGGCCTATAATTAGTATAGTTTGCATTTCTTCTGTTAAAGTACAATTTCCTTCATGTGCTGATGATAATGTTTTATCCTTCCTATGTGGTACACATGAATACTTCCTGGGAACTGTAGACAAAGCATTCTAACCACATATGAGCTTGAGCTGTGATTCAGACACACCTACCTCGGATGATGTCAGACAAGTTAGCAGTCCCACGGAGAGGGCTTCCTTGCAAGGTGACATGGGCCACCTCACAGATGATCTGAGAATGAATATCTCTGGGTCCCAGCACTAACTGGGCTGTGCTGGAGACATTGTAGAAGATTCCTTCTCCTTTGGGGTCCACAGTAGTTTCGAAGGGAGAGAGCTCTTTTCCACTTTTGAACCACTTCAGTGTGATATTCGGAGGGGAGAATCCATGAGACTTGCATGTGAAGGTCACTGTCTGCTGAGGTGAAGCTCGGGCTGCAGGTCCTGAGACCACAGGAGGAGATGGTTTTGCTGTAAAGGAGCATGGAGACAAGGATGAGACTGTGATGGCCATGACTGAGGACATAACATTGCAAAGAACCTTCGTAGAAAATGTCACTATCATGGTGGTTTGCTGTGTGCCTGGGATCAACACCAGAGCTTTAGCCACACTAAGGACCTTCTTTTCCCCATGTCATGCTTGTGTCCTAGCCACAGACTGTAAGTGCTCACCCTCCTCAATGTGTTTTCCTGTTTTTTGTCCTAGTCCTCCTGTGGCATCTCTTGTTTGTGTCTGCACAGTTTAATAGGAGATACCCAGGAGAAAATGAGGAAGGACCAGGGAAGTTAAAGTTCTAGGAGTTGCAAAGAAAGGCAATTACCAAAGTATTTTATATTTTATATCGTATATTCCTGCTGGCCTCCTCATGAAACCTAGACAACTTATGGTAAATATTTCTAGATTGACATCTAGTATAATTGAGAAAATAAAATACATCACAGAAGTAGCGCAAACCTAGTACCCTTCCTCATTCATTTTTCTTTCCTTCTTTGTACATATGTATATGCCATTATGTCTAATTTGTGCCAAGTCCTGAATTTCAAACTGAGAGCCCAAGAGTCTGCTTCTCCCTAGGTGGGCTTCAGCTGAACTTAGTCCGATGTCAAACAGATTACCTCTGTGGATAAAGCCAGAGGTGGTTCATTTCCTAGCTGTTAACCTAAAGGGACATAGAAGCAAGCCTGTTGAGCAGACAGAAATACTCTCTGGTCTTAAAAGCATAAATATGTGTGGATTGTTGAGATTAATGTGGTATGCCTGTAGATGTCTCCAGTTGAGTTTCCCATAATTCACTTGTCTTATTAGCAAAGTATGAGAAATATTACACATCTGTATTTGTACATGTGTAATTCCTTCTCAAATGGCCATTCTACCAGGAATGAAAACAAGTGTTATGTGAAGTCAAGCTATCTAAACTCTAGCAAACCTGATGTCCCTACAGGTTTGAGGGGGCCAGAGCAAGCTGCCATTTATTAAGAATTTCCAGGCATTCTTTCACTGTGCAGATTGCAGTGACGGAAGCTTTGGTAGGATTAAGATCAGAGTGCATGTGATTAGAGAAGTTAGACAGTCTAAAGTGCAAAGCTTATCTAACATGCAACAACTGATTAATTTAAATCCTGATCTTTGTCTAATGTACATCAATGTCCCCTTTTGCAGTGACTTTGGCCAGCTTGAGCATGACAAGTGTGGCTCTGGCAGGCCTTGCTATTCTCTCCCACTCACTTTGCCTTGCTAAATACCTTAAATTACATTCCTAAATCTAGTCACTTTCTCTTCCTGAAACTGACTGCCAAGGTCCAAGTATTGAAGTCCATCACTCAAAAACCCCCTTTAGCTCACTTAATTAACATGCCCAATTAAAACTGAACACCTCTTCCTAGCACAGGCTTTCCTATTTGGCCTTTATAAACTGCCATTTACCACTGAGCCATGTCTTTCTCCTCTCTATATGAGGCGGTCCTTTGCCCTTTAGGACAAATATCCTTCCTCTTCTTTTCTTTCTTCCAGTCTCCTTCTTCCTAACCTTTATTCCCTGACTTTATGTTTTACTCTCTTCCCTGTGTCCTTTGTGATGAGAACTTGTTCTTAGACTGGTACTTGAGCTGATACTTTTCCTACTACCCTTAAATAAACTAGATTAATACATCTCCCTAGAAAGATGATAATGATTCTAGAATCCCATTTATCAAATACTACTTATCACTGCCGTTGTTACAAGTTTTAGAGTCACTTATTCTGTTTTTACCATTTTGGTTCAGGAAAAGGTATACAAAGACAGTATGGTGTGTCTCTGGGTTGTTGCCACCCCTAGCATAAAAATCCCACCTAAGGAGCAGAAGCTTCTATACCCTGACGTGCTCTGCTTTCTTAGTGGTCACTATGTTGGCCAGTGGCTTTTACAGGACAATGGGGGAGGATTTCCTCCAGAGGGGCTAAATATAGAGAGCAGATGACGTTGAGAAGAGAGCAGCACAGAGTTCTGAGTGAAAAAGAGAAATTTCTGTCCCCAGAAATAGTTTTAATGCAAACCTCTGCCATATAGCAAAGATTTGCCCTGAGATTACAGTTGACCAAAGCTCTGCCTTGATAAAACCTTAGTTTAAACCTTGGTTAAAACCTCTGTCTTCGCCCTGAGAAGCATCCCTGGTACATTCCTTTGGCGTTAGAGAGTTGAGCACAGCAGTCTGGGCCCTGCTATTCTGCAGCATGAGGGTTTGTAATGCCTCAACTTGATGTCCTAACAGCTCTATCAAGGGAATGATTACACATATACTGTTGCCTTAAAGCTTGTATTTGATATTTCAGAAGCCAATAGTAGTATGTGAACAATTAAAGGAATGTGGATCCAGGATTTAATTTGTTTTCCATGGAATTTCAAAAATAGCCAGGTAAAGAGACACCTACCTCACAATTACTTGATTGACACCTATAGCCTAGAGGGAAAGTGAAAATCCAAGGTCATGTGCCCCTTTAATAACACAGCTCACATTGGTAAAATACATTCTAAAAATCAGCAGTTCCTCAAAGTATGTTATATGACTTCACTCCTTCAGTATAGCCAGTTTACATACTGTGTAGCAGAAAGACTGTATCATGAGGCCCCTGCAGAAGGTCTTGTTCTAGGTACTTGTCATGGAGTAGCTGTGCTGGGATGCACGTTCAGGCATTTAAATTCTTTCCTCTATCCTGCAAACCACTACAATTCTGATGTTCCTAATGACTCTGACATCACCAGCCAAGATTATGTGCATGGTTTCTCCTTCATCAAGAAACATCTACCAGGAACCATGGCTGTCAGCATCACAAAATGGAAAACTGAGGACTCCATAAAGAGATTGTGCCCCTCCATGGCTTCCTGATGCCAGACTCTCAGCAGTTCTCTGGATAGTCTTAGCACTCTGGAAAAGTGGGCACAGGAGCCACCTTCTACAGAAGAGGAAACTAAGGGTCAGGTTTAATGAGTTATCCAAGGTTTGAGAACCATGATATGCCACTGATTTTTCTGCATACAGCTGTATCAGGTGATATACAGAGGGCTCAAGCTTTTCTCAAAAGAACTATGACATCATCATGCCACAAATGAGGACACTGATGCTAAAAACAGAGACCTTGTCTGCTCTTACCAACTGCATCTCAGAGGCTATTTCCTGTGCCCTCACTTGCCTTTTCCTCAAAAAACCAACTGTCCTCAGACTGGAGCCCTGCTACTCTACTTTGTCCCTAAGATTTTGACCTAAGGAATCCTGTGCCAGATTGCTGCTCCAGATAGTTCAAGGGAGAGGGATGTCTTTGTTCCAGGGGCCCCAGGCTCCTGTAGACCCTTACTGGATGCAGGAGGCAGCTCTACTCTGCGTCTGCTGCTCAGAGAATAAACTATACAGGAAGAATAGCACATATGAGGCAATGTGCTGTGGCCAACCCTTCATATGATCACAAGTCAGGTGACCTCTCTGAATGCCAGCATCCTCCTCTCTAAAAGCAAAGGTGACTTCCCCCCTATGACACATGCTTAGCAGAAAATGGCATAACAGAGACAGGACACATTGGTATTTTATGCCTCTCCTTACAAGTATGTCCTTCTTCAGCGGTATCCTCAGGACAAATGATATGGAAAATAAAGCTAGCATCACTAAAAACTTATGTGTTTTATATTACTTGAGTCTTTTGCTGGTGTCTAAACATTGCATTACCTAGAACTTCAGTGTCCTTGTTCATGATATGGATGGATTTAGGAGGAAGCCATTCTCCTTGTTTCTTTCTGTTGAGGGGTTGTGAGAAGACTACATCACATCTATGCGGTAAAATACTAACATCGTTATAATCTAATTACCCTCAAAAGCAGCAGACTTTCTCCAGAGAACATGTGTCTTATGGCCAAGATGATAACCATAAGAGTTGATCCACTGTGGCACTGTTTACTTAGCCAAAAATTGAAATAAATGAAACATTCATGGCCTGAGATCTGAACTCTGGTTGTTGGACTATCATGCTTTGTTTCCACAGGGGAAGAATTCTCACACAGAATATCTGTATAGTTGACATTTTCATAGATTTTTGATCACTACTATATATAGAATCTGAGAGTGAGAAAAAATCTCAAAACCTTGGAGCTGGTGGTGAATGAACATGTTGACTGAGTTCAAGAATTCTGACCCCAAATCTCTTATTCATCAAGCTTCTAAGTGAACAAGGTTTCTCTTGCTTGGACAATCAGAAGTAGGCCTCTAATGAGATGTACCACATCTCAGCTAACTGGCTATATGATTATGGTCAGGATACCAGCATACAGGGCTCACATCCCCTAACAAGACTGGGGTGTATAGTGTGACTGACTTTCATTCTCCAAAATTCCTGAAATCAAGACCAAGTTAGAAGAATTTAGTCTTTTGTCAGGAAATTCAAAGTGAGCACCTGGCTATCTCAGCTGGGCACTGACAATCTACATGGAACAAGCTCCAGGAGGCAAGCTAACACTGGCCCAGACCTTTAGTGCCTGGGAGAGTTGGTCCTGACACATAATGTTGGCATAAGGGTAGCCTGGTGCCAACACCTAAACCAGGGCTAAGAGATTCCACAGAAAATGTAGACATATCCAGAATCATCTCAGTGTGCTGTAACTGGACAGGAAATGAAGAAATCACACACTTCCTTAGCATCATTTTCTGTTTTGATGTGCTTTTTCTCTTGGCAAAAAGGAGACACACATTTTGAGTAAAGAGCTCCTGCTTGACAGCTAGAGTAGATATCTAGAGTAGAACAGGCACAACTAGGCTCCAGGTTGTTAGGGCAGAAGGAGAAGACTTCATCAGGTGAAGAAGGACACTCTGGAGGCAGTAGGACAGGTGTGACCCCATCACTGGACCAGGCAGTCAGCTGTCAGGGTCTTTATCAGACACCAGGCTAGGGCATATTGGGAAAGGTAAGCTCTGTGGGGCAGGCAGACGAGGGCATGGATTTACTCCATTCATCAGAAGGAGAACCTCTAGCAAACAGCATGTCACCTCCTCTCTTCAGGTTCCTTGGACCACAATTGGGTAAGTCACTCTATGAACATGAGGGTTTACTTCCACAGTTGATTCTTATTTGTTCACCGAATCTTGGACATTGTTTTTACCTGTTGGAGAAATCAGGGATGAGGAGGACAATGCAGTACTTACCAAGCACATACAACATGGTGCCTCCTCCAGACTGAAGCTCTTTCCCAGACACTGAAGTGTCAGGCTGGAACTTCACACAGTAGTAGGTGCCAGCATCAGCAGGGGTGACATTACTGATGCGGATGGAAAAGTCCAGGTTGTTTCTCTTTGTGACATCTTTGACATTTGTGATTCTGGGGAATCTCTCTCCTGTGAAACTGTATATAAGATGCCGACTTTGTCCTGTACCCCTGAGCCACTTAATGGGCCCCACAGGGAGCAGGGAGGTCACAGTGCAGTTCAGAATGGCTGAACCTCCAGCAGACACAAAAACTGATTTCTCAGGCTGAATCACCTTCAGCTCCCGCTCATCTGCTCCTGCAGGAAACATCAGTTAGTGTTCATCTTGACAGGAACCTACAGGTTTGCGATCAAATACTATTCTCAGAAACACTCAGCCTGTATGTGATCACAGATCCCAAAGCTTGTGACTCTTAACACAGATGAGCAAACTGAATCACAGAAAGATGGAGAACTTAGCAGGGTTTTGATTGAAGCCTTAATTTTGTTTACAATTCTCATGCTTCGTCCAGTATCTGCTTCATTTTCTGTGCACACAGCATATGGAACTTCTGTTACAATAATATTGGGTGTGATCATGTGACTCTTTTAGATCAATGAGATATGAACATAATTGTAGAGTCAGGTCTACATTTGATTACAAGTTTCTCATGATGGGGTTTGCTTTATCAGATGGGATAATACGCCTTAGATAGATCCTAAAAAATAATAACATTTAACCTAACTAAGAAATAAAACTTCCAGACAAAATAGTTAAGAGCCCAATTGCTGTTTGAACTTTCTCTCCATCTTTTCCCTCAGTTCAGTGCCCAAAGACCCAACCTGCTCACACCCAACACTCACCTACACTCCCCATTCCCCGCACCTCCACACTCCTGCTACTCAGGTGCACATTCACTGCTTAGGGACAGACCATGCCAACCAGAAGAGCTAAGAGACATACTTGCTGTCTGAACCCTCACACTCCCTCAGACTGGAGCCAATGATACCTTCCCTGTCCCACTGCCCCCAACCCCTTCACTGCACCTTCCCCTTCTTAGGCAGACATCCACTGCTCAGGTACAGGTCACACAAGCCAGAACAGGGAAGGGCTCCATCTGCCATAGGAACCATCCCACTCTCACCTCTCAGAGCCCAAGACCCAAGCTTCTCACACCTGCCTCCTGCTGCCCCCACACCTGCACTGTTATATACCTGCTACTCCAGGAAAGGCCATGCCAGTCAGAAAAACAGAGATCCCTGCTGGTCCACAGGCCAGGCTATCAACCAGAAGTCTAGCTCTCAATTCTGACTGAAAGTTGCTGCTGGACCAGAGGTCAAGTTGGCTACCAGAAATATAGACCACAAAGATAAGACCAAATAATAATCAGAATACACCCATCCAACAAAAATAAACTCCAAAACAGGCTCCTAGAGTGATCCTTATCCTAAATGCAGAAGCCTAGATGCCAGTACAAGAACATGATCAACAACAGCAAGGGCAGTACAGAATCACCAGAACCCAGCTATCCTACAACAGCAACACCAAGACTGCATCACAGCTGAGACATAAGAATATGCCCATCAAACCAACTTCATAAAGAACAGTGGTCCTTACAGAAAAAAATGAATGGATGAAATGGAATGGATGGAACTACAAAAAAAAAAAAAAGTTATCCTGACTGAGGTAACCCAGACCTAGAAAGACAAACATAGAATGTACTCACTTTTATATGAATATTTGCTGTAAAAGAAAATATAATCATGCTTCAATGCAAAGACCCAAATAGGCTGAGTAAAAAGAAGGGCTCAAGGGTAGATGCATGGATCTCCCTAGGAAAAGTTAATAGAATAGATATTGTGAGTAGACTGCCAGGACTGAGTGGGTAGGTAAGGGAATAGGAGAAATCAGGTGTCGGGTAAATGAAGGGAGAGAATTCTGGGAGAGACAACTGGAATTAGGGGGAATTGGGGGGATAGGTGAGGTAGAAACCTATCAAATGGAAACTTCAGGATTCTATGAGAGTGACCCTAGCCATGATTCCTAATAAGAGGGGATATGGAGCCTGAACCAGCCACATGTGTATAATATGTTAAAATGTTATGATTGAATGAATCCTCAAAATAAAGAAATAAGACCTTGGTTTAAGTTACCAATTAAAAATATATTAATATTCTGTATATTATAAGATGTGTAAAATCACCTTAATCACTTAAATAGTTTTATGTGTATGGATGTTTGCCTGCAGAAAAATCTGTGTACCAAAAGCATGCATGGATTTAATGAATCAGGAAGAGGGTGTCAGGTCCCCTGGAGTTGTAGCTATAGATGGTTGTGAGCTACCATGTGGGTGCTGGATATTAATGATGAGATGACAGATTTCTATAAAGTGTGTGGCTTGACATAACAGACATTTATTTTTTTATATTGTGTAGTTCAGATGTTCAAATTTGTTGAGATAAGGCAACAAACATGGAGTCACAGAACCCTAATCTCCCCGAGGCCCAGTGTCTTTTTTTCACATGGTGTGGTCACCTGAGAGTATCCTCCATGTCACCTGTCTTTGCATCACTGCACTGTTTTGTCAGTAATCCTGACTCCAAAGCTCTGGGAGTTCTGAGCGCTTCTATCTGGACTTTGTGATCTGGAAGGACTGTGCTGTAGTGCACTCATTTGCTATACTACTGGGCTAAGACTATACAAATTCATTTCAATATTTAAAGAGAAAAATGAAAGCATGAAAATCTTTATGAAAGTACGGAAAATGAAAAGAATAAAAAAAATGTCGAGTCTGATTAGCAAGAAAAGAATATTAGAGAAGTGGTAAGAAGGAAACTGATGGTGTTGGGGAGTCAAGATACAAGAAGACTTAGAAGTTCAATTTACAGGTCTACAAAGTAATTACACATTTTATAAAAAAATGTACAAACATAAAAATGGATACAATAATGTTACTGAATCAGCAGTGCAGGGGCAGTGGGCAAATAAAGAGAAGAAATTAAATATTTTGGAGTAAATGTGAAGGATTAATGAAAAAATATTGCTTAACATCTTGTAACTTTGATAAATACAAAAAGAGTAAAGCCAACATGAACTAATTGAAAGTGCTACAAACTCAGAGAGAATCCCGCCAGCACATTTGTAATCCAACTGACAAAAGCCAAGTGTAGTAAAAGACTGAAAGCAGCCTAGAGCATAATTCATTTCTTTAAACATCACATCCTGAAAAATGATAGGAACATTGCTCATTTCAGAAATGTCAACATCCAGGAAGCAATGAGATGATGTATCTATCAGAAAGAGAAAATACATCCAGAATTTAAATAAAACCAAGAATTCTACACATGATAACACTATGGAAACAACACAAAGGAGAAAACATGGTATTCAAGTTAAATATCTCCTCTCATTTCAATGATACCTTCCCTGCAGGGAATACTAATGGGCTCTTTAGGGCTGACATAAAAAGAATCAGAGAATAAGGGGAGTAGTGAAAGATAAAATAACTTCTTCTTAAGTCGCTAAAAGTATAGCGACTTTTAAATTTTCATAAAGCATTCATTCTGAGCTCAGCACTTCCACTTTTTCCAGTTTTTAAATAATGGTGGCTCTAATTTTCAACCTGCTGAGAAGTATGGGGGATGGCCATGGACAACTCAGTTACTGTTAGGTCTCAGACAAGGATATCTGAGGGCAAGACTCAGCTTCCTTAGATAAATGAAGCCAAAAAGAAAAGAAATTTTAAGAAACTAAAATTTTGTATAGAAGTGCTATAATTTCTGTATCCTTTCCTCTGTTGAGATCACCGAAAATCAGAAGATGACAAGGTAGCACAATGCCTTTTAAAGAACAGTGTAATTCTAGGCAAAGTTCCTGGAGAACATCATATTGATTAAAATCCTGGCAAGAAATTTTATAAAAAGGTTGTAAGGAGTCAATGATCCAAGAACATAGATTGTAAAAGTGATATTCCTAAACACCGCACAGGAATGGGGCTGATGTGCCATAATCTTTGGGTGGTTTAAGTTTTGACATCTGGAAAAGAAGGGAGGGCAGAAGCTGAGTTGTTAGTGCAGAAATATGAACGATCTTAGAAAGAAAACCTGGAGCCCATTCCCACCCACTATGACTCTGAAGTTGTCTGTCTAGCAGTGCACTTGAGTGACTTCTGAAGTGAAGTGAACCTCGAAGGGTGAACATGACCAATCAGGAGATCCTGCCATGATCTATGGATTTAGATGAAGTTCCTTTATCCCCCAGATGCCTGGGCCCCAAGCCTAGAGTCTGCACTCCCACATCAAGTCTGATATTTCAGGAAATCCTGTAAGCTCCACTTCAGCCTATATCCAAAAATTTGACCTCTTTCCTGTTTCTCTCCTGCTACTGTACTGTGCAAGCAGCTCTGTCTCATTAGTTCACATTCAACAACGTCCTTCTATCTGTCCTGAAAGAGTTGTCCTTAATCATTAGAAAAATCTATTTAAAACCCACATTAGGCCAAAGTGCTTCACCCTGCACAAAACTAAAGTCCAAGTGGATCAAAGACCTCAACATAAAACTAGACACACTAAACCGCTTAGAAAAAAAAAGTGGGGAATACCCTTGAACTCATTGGCACAGGAGACAATTTCCTGAACAGAACACCAACAGCACAGGCTCTAAGAGCAACAATCAATAAATGGGACCTCATGAAACTGAAAAGCTTCTGTAAAGCAAAGGATACTGTCCTCAGAACAAAATGACAGCCTACAGATTGGGAAAAGATCTTCACCAATCCTATATCTGACAGAGGGCTAATATCCAGTATATATAAAGAACTAAAGAAGTTAAACAGCAAAAAATCAAGTAATCCAATTAAAAAATGGGGTACAGAGCTAAACAGAGAATTCTCTGCAGAGGAATATCGAATGGCAGAGAAACATTTAAAGAAATGCTCAACCTCATTAGCCATCAGGGATATGCAAATCAAAACAACCCTAAGATTTCACCTTACACCCATCAGAATGGCTAAGATAAAAAACTCAAGAGACAACACATGCTGGAGAGGTTGTGGAGAAAGGGGAACCCTCCTCCACTGCTGGTGGGAATGTAAACTTGTACAACCACTCTGGAAAGCAATCTAGTGCTTTCTCAGACAACTAGGAATTGTACTTCCTCAAGATCCAGCTATACCACTCCCAGGCATATATCCAAAAGATACTCAAGTACACAATAAAGACATTTGCTCAACCATGTTTGTAGCAGCTTACTTGTAATATTCCAAGCTTGAAGTGGCTCCCATTTACCTCAAGTGAAAGGACTGTCCATGACTTGGGAGGAAGCTCCACTTATGGCCTTTGCATATGCAGCTGCCTTCAGTGAAGTCCTTCTAGGAGGCTGGGACACATGACCTATGTTCATGCTTTCTTTTCATCTTTTTATCTCCGTATCTTCTTATTGAATTTCTTCTCAGTGATGTTCATCCAGGCCATCCCATCTTCAAGGTCTATGTCTCCAACAGAGCTTCCCTCTTTCTTTAGTCATTTAGACATATCTCCACATATACCTTTTTAAAATATCATACATTTCACCTTTTCTGGTAATTATTATTTTCTCTGTTCTCTATAGAGGATAGAAACCAAATTCCCCATGTGAATGACATTTTCAAGAAAAGCTGTTTGCATACACTGTATGATCTATATAGATTCATGGAGCTGGGTACAATTCATGCAGCTAATTCTAGCTGTAGATACAGATGTGGACCTGACTATAATTATGCCATGATAAATTAGCATTTTATTGATGTGAAAAACACATGGGATCAGAAGTTCAAAAGACTGAATATTTCCTTTGGCTCATTGTTCAGGTCCTGAGGGTTGACTGGTTGAACTGGTCTCAGGTTAGACAGAGCCTCCTCATGATGATGGTGTGTGATGGAACAAGGTTTCTCATCTTATGGTGGTGAGAAACAGAGTGGCAAGAATGTATGTAGGCCACATGCTGCCCTCATAGCATGCCTCCCCCCATTTCCCATACTGTCCACTCTGTTAGACCTTATCATCTAAACAATCAATTGCTGAGTCGTATTCCATTGTGTAAAAATACCACAATTTCTGCAACCATTCCTCCATTGATGGACAGATGTTCTGGCTATTACGAATAAAGCTGCTACAAACATGGTTGAACAAATGTCCTTGTTGTGTATTTGAGCATGTTTTGGATATATGCCTAGGAGTGGTACAGCTGGATCTTGAGGGAGCGTTAGTCCCAAATTTCAGAGAAAGCACCAGATTGATTTCCAAAGTAGACCTTACCTTCTAAGTAATCAAACTTTCAAAGTAGCACCATTATCTTTTGAAAAGATTTTACAATATAAAATTTTTAATATATTTGAAACTCAAAGAATATTTTTAATAAACACCTTCTCAGTACTGAAACAAAATTTTAAGACTCTACTGATCGATGTACAAAAGGAGAGGCTGAGATTCTTAGCCGAATTTTGGGCAGAATGCATGAAATTTTGTGAAAGAAGGCACAGATAGGAACACTGGAGAGGACAGGAGCTCCAAAAAGAGACCAACAAGCAATAATAATAATAATAATAATAATAATAATAATAATAATAATAATAA